CAACGTAATAAAAAGAAATATAACTCCACCTCCATACTCTTCAAAAGTATCATCGCCAAGGCAAAGACAGAACACATCAGTAGAATTGGCGAGAAACTAGTTCGACTTTCTTCGGGAACACGTGCATTCTGGTCTCTCGCTAAGGCTGACCAAGGGACCTTCTGTGAGCTATCTCTCCCATCTCTGCACAGGGAGAACGATTCACTGACTCATACTGCAAAGGACAAAGCCGATCTGCTGGGCTCTCTCTTTGCGTCGAACTCGACTCTTGATGACGGGGGGGAACACACCGCCAAATATCCCGCAGTGTAAGTGCTCCATGCGGGATGTGCTGTTTACCCAACGCTTGATGCGCAGAGCACTCCTCTCACTGGACTTCAACAAGTCGAGTGGACCTGATGAAGTCCCTTCTGTTGTCCTGAAGACGTGTGCTCCGGAGTTGGCACCAGTTTTAACGCATCTTTTCCGGTACTCTTACTCCCTGGGTGTAGTCCCGAAATCATGGAAGACAGCTTTTATGCACCCGATCCCTAAATAAGGTAACCTATCGCCATAACCTCCTTGTTCTCCTAAACAATGAAGTCCATTATAAGCATCCAGCTCAAGCGGTACCTTGAGGATTACCAGCTGATTAGTGACCGCCATTACGGTTTCCATCGAGGTCACTTAATTGGTGATCTTCTGGGAACCTAGCTTCTAAAAGGGGGGGAGGTAGTAGAGTCCAAGCGCTTTTTATGACACTTCCTTCCTATGGGCTTCCTGAGAAATTGTGCAATTGGGTCACCAGTTTTCCTGCTGATCGGAGCATCAAGGTCACATAGTAGGCAATATATGCTCTGATTACAAGCCCATTAACGCTGGTGTTCAACAAAACTGCGTGCTATCACCAATGCTGTATCTTTTGCATATCAATATATGCTGCAAACCGGTTACATTCATTGCAATGCGGATGCAACAGCACTGGGGATGCTTTAGACACCGGCCATGCCAATAATTTTCGAAAAAACGTTGCCGAGTGCTGGGCCAAACTTGTGTCTGAAGTCGAGACTTTATTGAACATAGTCTCAGACTCAGTCCAGTTTAGTCCCCAGAAGAGACAACTTTGCACGTTGACTGCTAAAAATAATCTCTTCGTCGTATCTCTTCAGTTTCAAGGCACTCCCTTTGTTGCCTCAGCCAGTATCGGAATCCTCGGCGTCGACATATCGAGTGACGTGTTTTTTGTAGTTTCTTGGTCACTTGGAAGAGAAGGCCAAATTGGCCTCTAAAAAGCTTGGCATCCTCAGCAGAGCGAGATAGTATTTCATGCCGGCACATCGCCTGCAACTTTACAATGCGCAGGTTTGCCCACACATGGAATACTGTTTCCAACTCTGGGCTGGGGCTCTTGAATGCCGGCTCCTTCCACTTGACCGCATCCTGCACAAAGCAGCTCGAATCATCGACGACCGGGTGCTTTCCGATCGGCTCGATTCACTGGCGCTGCGAAGAGATGTTGCATCCCTTTGCATTTTCTTTCGCATCTACCACGGGGGAGTGCTCTGAGGAAATGTTTGGATCAATCCCAGCTGCCAAATTTCATGAACGCAAATCACGGCAAAACTTCCAATACCATCCAAACCATCTGGATGCTTGACGGTCCACCACTGTACGTTTCACTAGGAGTTTTCTTCCGCGTACGACCTCTCTGTGGAATAGTTTACCACCGGCGATTTTTCCGGAACGATACGACTTAGCGACCTTCAAGAAAATAGCTTTCTCCTTTCTAAAAAACAGGCAACGCACCTGCAATTTCCCTGGTCTTGCAATAGTTCATGGGCGGCGGCAGTCACCTAACATCAGATGAGCCGTATGTTCCTATAAAAAATATTTACTATATATTATTTATACAATTGGTATGAAGAAAGAGCGTGGTAACGGTCACGTCATTCCCTGGGGTTATTATCAATAATGTACTCTTTAGTAGTATAATAACCCTTTCTAAACAATTTTTGCTTAATAAAAATGTTAGGCTTTTTATAGATAAAGCCCGCATGTTTTCTGGGACTTTATTGTAAACGCATAGTAGCCCCACGAAGGAATTACTGACTCTTTGGAGTCGAGTAACTGGTATAACTAACATGTGCTTGTTTCTAGTAATTATGGAATGTACATCACTTTTTTTTAATAAAACAATTCTTGTTTTGTGAACATACATCAAGTATTAATTTGAAGAAACAAATATATTAAATTTAACCTCCAATTATACAACGTGTAACAAAAACCCTGTGGTACCCGTTAAGTGCGTTATTAGAATCAGTATTCAAACGTATAGAAATGCCCTTTTTTCAGAAAACTCGACCATTAAAAATATAGTTTAATTTATATCAATTTTAATTTAATTTAATTAAAATTTTAACGGTCGAGTTGACTGAAAAATTAAGTTGCAATAATTAAGGTAAGTGGAGTGCCTTGAAACTGAGGAGATACGACAAAGTGCTACTTTTTAGCGGTAAACGCGCAAACTTCTAAAAACTATTCTATATGATCAATTATAATTCCTAACATAATAATAATAGTTTAAGAAATCGAAAAGTCATTAAATTATTTTACTTCCACCGGCCCTTGATATGAATTCCTTGAAAAAATTCAATTATTTTATTATTATGATGAAAGAATGATGAATAATATAGTATTATATGAAAAATTATTAATTTATATGTGGAACTTCTTTTTCCTTTATGTATATTTGAAGCAATATAAATTCTCATACAAAGACATAAGGAACGAAATTAAGTTACGTTATCCGTAGAGCAATATTTCGTAGCAACAACGTAGTCAATATTTGCTAAACGGCCGACTACGCCGAACGTAGCTGAATCACGTTTGTTAGGTTGTAGAGAATATTACGAAAAGAGTTAAACGCGATAGGAACGTGGAGTTGTGAAAGTTATTTATTTTGTTTTTATTTATAATTCGGTAAATTTAATTTACTTTTATTTTTGTGTTGTCAACTAACTAAGCGTGGCAACTGCGACTAAATCTCGCTTATGAGGCAATCTATCGGTCTATGTTCAGTAGTGGGCTTTTGATATGCTGTAACTTTTTTGTAAATAAGTAGTTAAACGCAAATCATACGTTATATGCGATAAATAAAATAAGAAGTGCTAACTTTTTCACCTTTTAAAATTGTTTGAAAATATAAGTTTACTATATGCAAACAGACGCAAAATAATAAATATTTTGACATTTTATCAAGAGAGAGTGGGATATCGGAATCTACATTTTAAATTAATTTAGCGCTGTTTGTTAAAACCTTAATTCATTTTTAAACAAATTCAATATTTTTTCCTAAATTGAAACTAGAATAACACATTCCCGCTTCGTACTAAAGAGCAATATTATAATTTTTTAATTTAATTATAAACTCAAATATTGTGTACAAAGTTTAGACGATTTTGAAACTGTTGTAAGTGCTGATTTACCACGTATTTAAACAAACGAGTACTCAGTCCACCTGATAGTAAGTGGATGCTGTGGCCCATAGATATTTACATCCATCCTCGATGAAGAATCAAAATGCAGATTCGCTGTCACCCTGAGGACTATAATCCATTATATGTCTCTTTTTCGGTAAAAATATTCGGTTCTCGATACGAAATACATGGAGAAAGAAGAGAGAAGAGCATGGTTTATGCCTGTACCGACCTATTCATGCAAAAAGTGTAATAAAGCGGCAGCATATATCTATTATAAATAAACCGTAAGAATACCTGGATATTTTATAAATTGAAAGTCCGTCAACAGCATTGAGCCAGCGGGCTCTTACCTGTTCCATAAACCCTCTCTGAAAATCAGGTGACATGGGCCTTAGCCGTGAGATATATGAGGCAATAACTTTATAGTGGATTTTAAATTTGCTTTTATTTCGTGATGCATTACAAAAAGGCCAAATTATGCGTACCATTAACCGATCAGAATGACAGTGTATGCGTAGATATATGTACATAAAAAGCGACAGAGTTGTTCGGGATTGTGATAAATGAAAGTCCGCAGTCTCTTCTTACGGGGTTTGCTTATGAATGATAGGAGTGACAGTTAATACTTACGAATGTGTGTATTTGTATTTATATAACTATATAATGTTGGCTTGTCTTATCTTAGCGGTCAGTCACCGCAGAGGCTATTTCACCAGATGATGTCTCGTTTAGAGGGGAAACGTGTCGTATTATCAATGGTGGTGTGTCTTTCTTAGTGTAGTGGTGTTGGAATTAGTGGTGATGGGGATAGTGCACGCAGGGAGGGCTGGAGGTGTTCTTTAAGTTAGATAAGTCACATCATTTTATTTTATTACGCGGATTATTATCTTTGATATAGCGGATTTCCACAATGTAACCTTTGATTCTATTAATTATATATGTAATTTATTTGTATATGTATTTGTATATGTACAAAATTAACAATATTTGCATAATTTGTAATTTGGCATATAAAAATAATTTTTGGTATGCAAATGTATGTACGGATATATATTTTTTTACATAGTTTTTTATTATAATTTATATTCCTATGTTTTAAAATCTATACACCTACTAACTTCATATTTTTATGTCTGTATTAACCAAAGATTATATAGGAAGAGAACGCCTCATGCATTCTCTTCCTTTTAATCTTTGGAGGATGAGATTAAATAAATAAACAAATGTAAGGATTTTAAATTCAACATTTGTAGGACTTATGTATTAGGACTTTCGCCTGTATCGTGTTGCACAAGGACAAACATCTAGACCGGGAAAAAATATTGTAGGTTATACAAATACTTGTTTCGTGCGACAACCGAAAACCCTGCTCTTAGCGCCAAACTCATTGCGAAGCCACTGCGCTTCGAAGTTGTCAATCATAAATATTTTTACAATTTTCTTGATAAAATAGCATTAATTTTATTTTTATGTTTTGACGCTTTTGATTTTTATGGATTGTAATTACGAAAACTTTTTTAAAAAATGTTTACAAATACAACAATGTGTGAATATAACTCTACGCAAGTCGACGAAACTGTGAATTGTTTGGAGAACCCTTCAAACAAAACAATCGTAGAGTTACTCACGCCCGACCAACATGCAGTGATTGTGACGTACTGGGTGCTGATGATGCTGGGAGCATTCTGCAACCTGGCCGTGCTGATTAGTTTAACGAGAACTCGCCACAGGAAGTCCAGAATGGATTTGCTAATGACGAATTTGGCGATAGCTGATGTCTCGGTTACGTGCGGAGTCATACCACTGGAGGTAAATTCATTGATGATTAGGTTTAAAAAGTTTATATGGGACCTAAAATAACATAATTGTTAATAAATAATACATTTAAGTATAGTGAATATGAATAAACTTTCATAAATATATCCAAATTAAAAGAGCATTATTTTTAATTTACAGTGATTTTTAATTTATATTTAAATTTTTAAAACGATTTTTCATGAAATACCTCATTCGGTAGGCTATTGTACAGTACTCCCTCAAACTGAATAGTTTTCGAACCATATCGGTTTGAGTCCTAGGTTTTGGTAATTGCTGTTTATATTTGTTTCATGTACAGTGTTTATGTGATTTGGTTTTAAAACTAATTTGTGTGTATATGGAATCTAAGAGAATTTCTCTGACTAGTAAGAACGTTTTGTATTTGTATAACTGACTTATGCCAAATTATCAGTTTTTATAGCCCTCTTTAGTTGAAAAGCGATAGTCAAGTTGGAATAAAACTTTTAATAATTTGTTCTGGCATATTTGAAGATCATTCATATTAGTTTTAGATACACTTCCCCATATCTCTATTAAATATTCTAGTAATGAATTGTCTAGTGAATCATAAATAATAGTTCGGACTTTAAAAAGTATACAACGTCTCAACAATCTGCGCAAAACTCCTATCAATTATGTTATTTTTTTCTGCAGGTAATCTAAATGAGTTCACCATGTTAATTTAGAATCCAAAATCTTGATATTTTTCTGTTTCTGACTTTTTAAGTTCTTATTTACTCATTCATTCATTATAGCCATAGACTGTTTCATAGGGGAGGGGGGATTAGTGCCATCTCAGAGTAATTACTAGCATAGAGAGTTCTAAACTAAGAACGTAATTATTTTAGCTGAAATTTTTATACATATGACGTTTGACATGGTACAAAATAAGATAGCTATGTTATTCTCACCTTCTTTCTTTTACAAGGTTGTTGCCGTATTTCCATTTACCCTTTTTATTAGACACTTCTATTGATGTGCCATTGCCGAAACAAAAATCATTGTTGATAAACTCATTTAGTCTGTGACTTAATAAAATTAGGAAATTTTACTAGTTCCTTTTAAATCAAAGAAAGTTTATAGAAGCTTCACCTGACACCTTAAAACAAAACCGAAAAAAAGATGCGGAATTTCCTACTATAGTTGTATTGTTTAAAATATATCATGAAAAGGTCACTATGAAATCTATTTAAACTCAGCCGCTATATTTCCGCCAAATTATCCTTAACCTCTCAACTGCGGACGTCTAACGCTTGGACACGAAAATATCTCCATTGACTGCGGGTGTCCAAGTACTGGACAATTTTTACCCGCTCTTTTAATGTCGAAATAAATCATTACGCACTATGTCTAACTCATTCTACCATATGTCGATATGTACAGGATAAAAAAGGTTACCATAAAAACCCCACAGCTTATACATTTTAGTACGATTTTTTTTATATATAACGTCCGATAATGTCGTCCGTGCCTTGAGTCAGCCATTAGTGTGACTGACGCGCGCTAACAACAAAGTTGTTAGCAATTATTTTGTACTAATTTATATTAATTGTGTGGTGAATTGTGTTAAAACAATGCCTGGGTAAGCAACCTCCTTATTTGTAATCTCATTTTCTGTTTTATCTCATTAAGTCCGTGTAAAATTGTTTTTTAATTTGTATGAAGCAAACCGCTATCTTAGAACTAACATGCTGGTTGCGGAAATTTGACTTGAAATGTACGTAAAATTTTAGTGTTGACTGTCATTTTTGTGTCAAAATATGTGTAATTGTTAATCATTTACAGTTTTAGTACATAAAAATGAGGATAAAGTGCAATATTTTCAAAATTTCAATGTAAATACGCAATAGGAGTAGTGAATTCTAGTTCTTTGTTTTTCAGGTGGTGAAAAAGGAACTAAAGTTTGCCATACTGCATCACGTTCAAATTCGGTTGAATTGTTAGAATCGTAAAGAATCTAATTCTCAAAAAAATATCTCAATTGCAATCTCGATCGGTTAACGTTGCGTTATGTTTCAACCTAGAGCAAGATTGCTGATACCTACAGTACCATTCGTAAATAATTAGTACTGAAGATACAGTAAATCGAACAAGTACCAGGAGCCTTTTAAAGAAATGAGTACCCATGTTATATATTTATTCAATTTTATACTTATGTACATTTATCCATTTAGTTTTTATTGTTGCCTAGCTATAATTTGTTCACCTGATTATTTCAGACTATCATCGTTGAAATAGTTAAGTTAGTTAAGTTACAGCCTATTTACGTCCCACTGCTGGCCTTACCTCACTTCTGAGAGGTTTTTAGGGCAAACAATTGTCCGCCGCGCTGCCCCTATGCGTGTTGGCGAACTTCACATTTTTTTCTTATTTCTCAGACAGTAAAACTTTCTCACGATATTTTCCTTCACCGCCAAGCACGTGGTAGATAAGCACTTAAAATTGCAATTAACAATTTCATTGACGCCAGCGGGGATCGAACCCAGTTTGCTAGTGTACTGACAAAATAGCGTAGTGTGTAAATTTAAAGCGAGAGCTAACCATCTGAGCTACCGGGACTCCTCTGAGCCACCACGGTTCTCATCGTTGAAATGAATACACCTTTTTATTTTGTATGTTTTCTATAGAATAGGGTGACAAACGAGCACACAGTCCACCTGATTGTAAGTAGTTGCTGCGGCCCCTAGATATCTACATCTATCCTCGATTACAAATAAAAATGCGGATGCGTTGTCACCTGTGAGACTAAGATGGAATGCCTCGTTTCCAGTAAAAACCATCTCTGGTTCTCTACTCACCATACGAAACACAGCCAGCATTAAGCTAATATTTCACGCTGGTATTCTGTGAGAGCGTGGTTCTTCCCCGGTCGAGCCGACCCATTCGTGCAACAACTATACTACTAATATAACTGCAGCGTGGCTCTACCACGTATAAAAAAATGTTTTAATGAACTAGTACATAATGCATAAAAAGTGCAAAATCGGACTTTAGTTTTGGCATATTTTTGGAGCATAAGAAGTGGGTTCTTTAAAAATATATATTCATAATATTTTTTTATTTCAGGAAGAGATATGTTTATTTTAAACTATCTGTTACCCGCGGCTTCGCTCGCATGGTCACTGGGAAATGAACTATCCATTGCTTTTTGAATTGAAAGAAAACTGAGTTTTATAGATTTGTCAGAGATGCAGCCATTAAAAGGAAACTGAGCAAAATTGATTCGTCAGCCTATTTAAATGTTTTGAAACGCGGCGTATAGGAAGGCATGAAAATAGCCTGTTTATTCCAAATGAAAATGGGATATTTTTTTAATTAAAGGAAACTGAGCATAATTATCCGTCAGGGATGCAGACTTTTGAAAAGAAACTGAGCTAAATTGATTCGTCAGAGGTGCAGTTTTCTGAATTGAAAGGAAACTGAGCCAAATAAAAGATCCGTCAGAGATGCAGCCTTTTGAGTTGAAAGGAAACTGAGCTTAATAGGTCCGTCAGAGTTGCAGCATTTGGAATTGAAAATAAACTGAGCTAGATAGGAAATTTTGAATTGAAAGGTAAGATCTGTGGGAATTCTGATTAATTGATTGCGGGAATTTTGGAAAAAAACTAACTGAACACTATTTTAAGACGCTACTGTATACAATGTTATTTGTTTTTCCATTCGGGGAAAGAATGTGGAGATTCTGGGCATTTGACACACGCGAAAATGCTACATAGAGCTGACCATGAGAGAAGCACGGTTTTTCTAAGTTGACCCCCGCTACCTGTAACGTTTGCCCGTGAGCTTTATTAATTGTCATTGCAAAACTGAGCTTAATAGGGAAATGCAACCTTTTGAATTGAAAAGAAAGATCTGTCGGAATTATAGGGATCCGTGATATAATATCATTTTCACCTTTTCCTACACCTGTCAAAATTGTAGCACCGATTATGTTCCGTCCAAGATGTGTTTACGCAGCCTTGTCCCGTTACATAACCGAGGAGCATCTAAATTTCGCATTAGCATGACTGGGACGCCTAATTTTAATTGAAGCTTATGTGAGAGCACACCTGACAACTCTAGAGAATTTAGAAACTCTGCGGGATATGAAGTGCTCTGTTCTGTGTCCATAACTGTGTCTACTGACAAATACTCTGTTATTTCTCCTGCTACTTCGCTTAATATATCTGAATTTATTTTCTTAACGCTCTCAATTTTTGGTGCAAGAATCGCCCTTTCAAATAACCATTTGTCTTCATGCATTTGTTCGTTAAATATGAATAAACGCTCGCAATTAATTCGGAATGATTCTGTACTAAATTAAAAAAATCTCTCGTCAATTTAACGCAGCCCTCAGCATCCGTTTCCAACCGCCCATCGCCAATTTTTAATAGTGTGTCAGCATAGTTTCCAGCATTGATATCTTTATACAAATGCACTCTCATATTCGTACTTAAACTGAACTGTGTCACCTTGTTCCATAAAATAGACGACTTGAGGCATGCTTTAATTTCATCTGCAGGTGTGCCATTTTGAATAACAGGTAAGGTTTGGCGAAAGTCAACAGCCAGTAAAACCACCATTCCTCCCATTACATCGGTATTGTTGCGCAAATCCTGGAGCGTTCGATTTAGTGCTTCTACAGATTTTTTATGCGACATTGTACTTTCGTCCCACACTAAAAGTTTGCATTGTCGTAGCATTATACCTCGTGCACTATTTTTGCTTAAGTTGCAGATCGGCGATTCTTCCTAAATCTATTAGAGGGAGTTTTAAAACAGAATGTGCAGTGCGGCCCCCGCTTAGCAGCGTGGCGGCTATACCGGAGGAAGCTACGGCTACAGAAATATTTTTATCTTTCCGTACTTGCGCTAATAATAATTTTAACAAAAATGTCTTCCCAGTTCTTCCAGGGGCATCTAAAAAGAAAAGTGCACCATTTACAGATTCAATTTGTCCTAATACTTTGTCAAAAACTCGTTTTTGTTCGGGAAGCAAGCGGGGTACAAATT